CCAGGCCAAACAGCAAATCAGGGTGCAATTAGAACCCAAAAGAACTAGAAAGTGATGCCTTTTGCTTGCTAGTAAAAGAGGCACCCCAAACTTTTTCCCAGCATAATTCCTTTCCATTCCAGCTCCTCTTTTTAGACATGCAACAGAGTGTATATGAGTTCCGAATTCCAAAAGACCATCAGAACACTGTGTTAGCATGGCTGTGTCTAAGATGTCCCCTTGTACTTCCTGGCATCACCTTGTACTGCTCTGCTCTGTCAACATTGGAATTCCATACCTCATACTCAGTTATAGGGTTAACAAGGAAGAACCACTCAGTGAGACTGACATGCCTATTCCTTTCCACTTAAATAAATTAATTAATATAAAAGAAAAGAATCAGGATCGGTTAAGTTTTATTTAGGAAAGGTCCCTACACTAACACATGTATCATATACTTGTGTCAGAAGCAACCAAAAACTTAACCTAAAGGTTAAATCAGCTTACATAAAAGTAAGCTGCACACTGGAAACCCAAAATCCCCTCTCACTGTGCTCTCTGGCACTTCTTATGACCCCGCCATCATAGTATCTCAATGCCAGTGAGCATACGCCCATGCCAATACTGCTGAACTCTAAAGGGAGTGATGGGCACTGGTTGCACTTTGGGAATTTAGGGCATATTAGAAGCCATTATTTCAAAGTTTATTTCACCTCTTTGCATTGGGTAATTTCCACTGAATATAACTCACGCACCTACTAGTCTCACTGCCTTACAACAAAGCAGTATCACCCCATTCTGGCTCACGGAGAGAGAAAAGCTCATCACCTTCTCGCCTTTCCGGGTGTCCCAGATGAAGACATGCTCACATGCTGGCACTGCCACATATCGTCCCTTCTCGCCCCGCAGGGTCACATAGACGATGTTGCCTTTCTGGCTAGCAATCACCCCAAACAGTGCACTGGCGGTGTAGCGCAGATATTGCTTGGTGAGACCCATGGTGCAATTTCCAGTTTCAGGTGGGGGCTGACCTGCACATAAAGACAAGAACACAGGAACCACTGAGAAGAATTTCATTTAAAAAGAGAAATTAGGGCCGGAAAAGGCCTGCTGTATGACATAGAGCCCACTTTGCTGCTACAGAACTTCTAATATTATTAAAACTGGAGTGGTCAAACGATTAAAAAAAGGGGGTTCTCAACATTTCTCTTGAGAATTACCCAACACTACATCAGACTGCACTAAGTTTTTCCATTATTCAGACTACAGTTATAAAATCCTGTTTAATTGGTTAACCGGTTAATAGATTAAAGAGGCATAAGCAGAGGGAACAGAGCTGGAGCACCCTCCTCTTCCGCACCCCCCCCCTCCCCCGCTACAGGCAAAGGCTGCTCTAGCCAGCGCAGCCACTCCCTGTGGTGGAGAGGCCTGGCTGGGCCTGCCATGGACAGAGGCTGGTCACGCCCCGCGGAGGAG